TTTTGGGTGTTTTTTTTAATTAACGGTAAATACATATATTTCAAGGGAAAACTACATCTATACTAAAATTTTAACCAAATATTCGAGATAATTTTTAGGTGAAGAAGTAATATTTCATTTTTAAGTTTGTGTTTCATATCGAAACACATGACTGTGCGCCAGTATTTTTTCTATTAACGCACGCTCATGTATACGAGCAGTAAGCTCAATGAAATTTTTTAAGTGAAACTTCTTTGCGTTCAGAGTAAATGTAAACATCGATGAAAAGAAAAAGCGAAACAATCGCTGGGCTCTACTTAATTTCCAAGTAGTATAGGCTAAGACTGATTTTGGGACTGTGATTGAGATAACGATAAAGGTTAAGGTTAAGGATAGGGTTAATGTTGAAGTTAAGGTTAAAGTTGAGGTTAAGGTTATAGGTGACGTTAAGGTTAAAAATTAATATTTAGCCATGTTTTTATAGAATTTTACTCATTCTTGTTTGAAAAATGAAATATGTACTACTTGTTGATCTAGAAGTGACCTTGAATATTTGGTTTAAATATGTTTACATAATTTTCCCATGAAATATACATATGTACATATGTATGTATTTACTTTCAATCTACAAAAAACATTCCCCAAAAATGTAAATTTCAAGAGGAGATATTTTATTTTGATCACATAGTTTGGTTTCAGCCCACTGTGCATAACACATACACATTTGCAAGGAAATGCTCATATATACATACATACATAAATGTGTATATTGTAGCTACACTGCCGGTAAAATGATACCTTTGCTGTGGCTACCGCCGCCGTGTGACTGTGGCAACATAAAATTACAATTTTTTTTTACTCTCGCATAATGTGTGGCACTGCATGAGTTCGTGTTGCGGCAAACAGTTAATGCTGTTGACATAATTTTAAACATTTAAAAGCATGCAATAATTTAAATAAGTTATGGAAGATAAAATACTTGTATATAGATATGTAACGGGTGATTTTTTAAGAGCTTGATACCTTTTTTTTTAAAAAAAACGCATAAAATTTGCAAAATCTCATCGGTTCTTTATTTGAAACGTTAGATTGGTCCATGACATTTACTTTTTGAAGATAATTTCATTTAAATGTTGACCGCGGCTGCGTCTTACGTGGTCCATTCGGAAAGTCCAATTTTGGGCAACTTTTTCGAGCATTTCGGCCGGAATAGCCCGAATTTCTTCGGAAATGTTGTCTTCCAAAGCTGGAATAGTTGCTGGCTTATTTCTGTAGACTTTAGACTTGACGTAGCCCCACAAAAAATAGTCTAAAGGCGTCAAATCGCATGATTTTGCTTATTTACGAAGCCATTCAACCAGAAATGAGCCTCATCGCTGAACAAAATTTGTCG